TAACGAAGTCGATTATTACCATGTAACTCAAAATACAGCTGTTGATCCCCAACACGATCTGTTAGAAGGTGTTTGTCGTTATGATGTCGCGCTTGTGTTATATTATTTTATATATATAATGAAATTATTTTCACTACAAGATTTTAATGATAGATTAAAAAGTTTTATGTACGGTTCGAACGATAATGAAAATAAACCTCCACCTATTTTAGAAAAACATCTTAAAAAAAAATGTATAATAATGTCGGCTTCTGAAATGTTATCTCTAATTCGAAATATATTACTGATTATAGAGAGTACCAAATCTGTATCAGAGGATAACAAGCAATGGTTACTCCTTAAGAAACTTAAACAAATTGTCGATATAGCATTCAGCAAAACTGTTCATGAAAAAACTTACGTTTCTCTTGATAATTTAATCGAAGAGTATTTAAAGTTACATTCTGAAATTTTCCCGGGTAAAATGAAACCAAAGCATCACTTTCTAATACATTATGCTCGTATTCTTGAAGCTCTCGGTATTTTAAATGTAAGTACGTGTATGCGTTTCGAATCAAAGCACCAAGAGGGAAAAGTGACTTCTCATGTATCTCGTTGTAGAATAAACGTTTGCCGAACGATCGCGATTAAGCATCAACTAATTTTAAATTATAGATTCTTGAGCAAACATTGTTCTTATCCTCTGTTTACAAGTGGTACTATTAAACAAGTTGCACTTACACAAATTTCGGAATCTAACGAATTCATCTCTCTGCTATCTCACTCAAATGGTTCAATTAAAAAAACACAGTGGATTAAATATCTGGGTCGAAAAATTAAAGTAAACAGTATTATTGTCGTTCCCTCAGAAGAGGGCCCACTGTTTCATGTAGTACACGTAATTAATATTATCGAAAAGTATGACTGTCGCATTATTACGAAGAAACTTAATGATGTGTTTTTTGATAATCATTTACAAGCCTTCCAAGTATTTGATGATAATAATTATTCATGGGATATGTTAAAGTTGTGCAACCTTCAAGATGTTACAATCACAGTTAGAAATAAGTTACCGAATGGTTGTCACTATATTTGCAAGTCTTGGCTGTGAGTAATGTAAAATTCCATGTAAAAAAATTGTATGAAAACGTCACATGGAATTTTCAAATGAATTATTTTGTGATATTAATTGTTGGTAAATAAATAAATGTTAATTGCGATTCTCAATTAACTTTGCAATTTAGATAATTTGTACTTCTTGTGATACTGAACCTGCAAACTCCTATAAAATATCAATACATGTTTATACTGAAATAACTCAGTTTAAATTTTTTTAAGAAATAATAAAATAAATAAAACAAACTTATTTAAAATACATATATAAATTCTAAAGATATGATATGCAACTTTATCATTATTATTACTTAAAATTAACTTATTAATATTTTCAAAATATTTGAAATTTTTTCCAATTTTTCACATTATAAATTATTAATTTTTTAAATATAATTTATTATTAATTAATAAAATTAATTTAAAAATATAAAATGAATTTGTATTTTAAATATTTAAATATATGAAAAGAAAGGTAATTTTACTGTAATGCAATCAGTAAAATATATTCATAGAGTAATTATGGACCTAGGGCACTTCAAATCTGTAGTTAAAAGTTTTTATTCTAAAGGAAGAAGGTCATCGAATATTGTACAGTTTCTTGCAGCGAGCGTTGCGTGGTTGGTTGGTTAGGGTTGCGATCTATAAGTTTTAGGGCGTGCGTTCAATTCCTTGCGTTGGAATATTTTCTGTTAGGTAGGCTATTATTAAGTATATAAATAACCGTTAGAGGTTAAAATGTATATAAGTGGTGAAGGATGAACAAGTTGTTGGGTGCAATATCAAGATATGTGGTGATTAAATAAACTAAAAGTGCGAAATATTATTTTTTTAAATAAATTTAATGTATGAAAAAAATTACTATACTGTCTTAAAAATGTTTTGAGCAGTATGAAGACTATCAGGTTTTATATTTATATACAGTATTGTAATTCATTTTACACTGATTCGACAAAATTACTATACTGTATTAAAAATATTTCAACGAATATGAAGATTTAATATTTCATGGACAGATTTCACATTTCAATACAGTATTGTAATTTATTTCACATTAATCGAAACTTTCATCATATTCAGCCTTTTTTTCTTTAGACTTTATTATAAGTTATTTCTCTGTTAATTTCAGATACAGTATGAGATTTTTCTTTAGAATTACACTTTCATCCAACATTTTAATACTGAGTATCAAAATATTTCTCAGATTTTTTCTTTCCGTGTATATAAGTAGGGATTTTAATTGCCAGGAGTATGCGCGAGGAAAAGGAAGGGTTTTGGCGGGCATTGACGCGGAAATCTAAGTTAGTAAGCCGGGGACTAAGCGTAGAATAGGGCCTTTTGATTTTTGTACTGGGATTTTCCCATAATTTGACTGATTATAATAAAAGTGTACACAACATATTTTAATTGTTAAATTTTGTGTTTTATTGTGTCTTTACCCTGAAAAATAACAATTATCAATTAATAGCAAGAACGATGTTGTGATTTTAGTTTACGTGGACGATTTAGTATTGCTTGCGGACACACCAATAGAGTTAGAAAGGAAATTGAAGGCCTTATAAGGATATTGCGAATTGAATGCACTTGAAGTGAATGTTAATAAGACTAAAATCGTTGTTTTTAGAAAAAGTAAAAATTTATCAGTAAAAAATTTTTTGGCGTTTAAATTCGGCGAATAAAGCATAGAAGTGGTCAATCAATACACTTATTTAGATGTTAGCTTCGATTGTACTTGTACTTTTAAAAACGCGTTGGAATTGTGCACAAGTTCAGCAAATACAGCGGCGGTCAGTGTGTTAAGAATTGTAAACAGTGTACAGGCGGATACATGGCCTACGCACGAAAGATTATTTGAAAGTCTAGTGTCTAGTGTTTTCTTTTACGGTGCTCAGGTCTGGGCTTTAAATCATATTTTCGATATTGAAAAGATACAGTTGGCCTTTTTTAAAAATCTTTTACACCTCCCAACTTGTACACCAAACTACGCCGTACGCCTAGAAACAGGGAAGAATACCTTGTCGTGTAAGATACTTGAGAGATCATTGTCTTAGATCGGGAAGATCTCTAAAATGGAGGAATCTCGTTTTCCAAGGCAATGTTTATTGAGGCTCATGACGATGGCTAGATCTCAGTCTGGGGAATGTAAATTTAATTGGTTTAAACAGATAAAGCATTTTTTTACGGACAGTGGGGAGGGAGATTTATGGGAGTTTGGGTCCTTAGAAACAATAGTAGCTTCTTCAAATCGAATAAAAGAAAATTATGAGAAATTCTGTCTCGAACAGGACCTAAGTTGCCGAATTAACTCCAGAAGCTTGCAGGTATGGCCGTTTATTAGCCTGGGACAGGGAGCGCAATTATATCTAATGAATAGAATGAATCTTTATTTAAAAAGAGTTTTTGCTCAATGTCGACTTTTTAACAATCACATCAGATATATATTTATTAATGGTCTTAAACTAGAACTGCCAAATTCCGATCGCCGTGTTTGGTGCTACGAAGAAGGTGAAGACTTTGAAGAAATTAGTCATGTTGTAAAATTATAAATTGTTAAAAAAAAGCAAAAAAATTTTTTTAACTATGTCAGAATTTCAATTGATTTTTGTAAAATGTATTTTATGGTATGGGCAGATTAGCCTAATAAAGACTTAATAAATAAATTCTTCATCCAACTACACAAAATTCAAAATTTTAAGTACATTTACTCCTGAGAAAAAAATATCAAATTCACATGTTGTCTAAAATCATCGACAATTGGTACACCTACCCTATATAAGGTGGCGATTATATAATTTGATTCCATTTTCACGTCAAATTCATTTTGACTTTGAAATTTAACTTATTTTGTCATTTTACGTAATTTTAAAGTGAAAAGTAAAGGATGTTAAAGATTAATATATCAATACTCAAGGCCAAACGACAAAAACATAGATTAAAACGAACATAACCTCAAAAATCAAGATCATATATAAAAAACTTAGGTTTTTGACGTAGTTGAGACGGACATAACCTCGAAATTAGTATCAGAAGTCAAATTCTAGGGCAAAGGTTTCCAGGATTCAAGACGTTAGTTCAAACATAACCTCAAAATTCAAGGTCATGGATCAAATATAACCTTAAAATTCAAGGGGAAAGTTTCCAGAATTCAAGGACAGACATCAAACATTACCTTAAAATTTTAGGGCATATATAGCTTTCCAGGATTCAAGGCCTTAGTTCATAACCTCAAAATTCAAGGATATAGGTTATGGGACCGTTGGGTTTGAGGCTATGCTCGAAAACATAATTTCAATTTCCTCTAACCAAGAAACGAACATAACCTCAAAATTTAGATAAATTTTAGATGAAAGTTAGTTAGTTTTATTACTTTTCGAAGCAGATTTAGTATGTAACTGCGGAATAATTTAATAATTAAATTTGGGGTGTGTTTACATTTTAGTAACAGTTTCAGGATTAGTATTTGAATAAATTTTTGGATACATTTTAAGATGAGCTTAAAAATTAAATTTAGGACATATTTTAGGATTAATTTTATAGTATCAGTTCTAGGACGTAGTTCAAGATTAGTTGTTCTCTCACATTAGCAGAATTTAGAGGAATATTCTATACACCTGTAGAAATGGAAGTATCTCCTAATTAAATTTCCGTTTCTGCTCATGTTTTAAATTTTCTTGCTCAAGACTTTTAAAATTCCCTAATGTTATCAGTAACGTCGTAAGAGTTGCATAAAATATTTACGAAACTTTCATTTTGCTCTTGCTAAATTTCAAGAAGTAATCATATAAGGATAATAAAAAATTAATGCCAATGTATAGCTATAGATTATGTATAGATACTCTTGCCCCTGAATTCGGCTTTGACGAGAAATTATAAGAAATTACTAGAAAAAAATTTTCAGTAAAACTTACCTGGATTCGTTCCGATGAGAGATTTATTTAACTGCCAAGTTGGTATTTTTGGATCAACAGTTTGATAAAATCCCCAAAAACAGATAGCTACTAATGCTGCTAATACTCCATAGAATACTAAGTAGAACAGTCCAATTTTACCTGCAAAAATATTTTGAAATTAATTATATAACATTTCAATTTCAAAATGAACAGAAAAAACTATATTTTTATTTTAAAATTTAATTCAATACAATCAAAGAAAGAATGGACAAAAAATCAAAAATGTTTCGGCATGAAAAGGTCAACGCGAATTGTTGCACATGGGCACTAATTCTATTAGATTAAATAGATTTATTTCCCATTTGTGTATTTAAAAATAAGTTATTATTTTCATTTCGAAATTAATTTTAGGCTAATTTAACGGAATTTTAATTTAACATAATTCTCTCATTCATTTTCTTCATAATTTCTGATTGGTCAATTTTTAAAATCGCGCGGAAATCTTTGTCGGTTTTTTATTTGATTAGGTATTTGCAATTTCGGGAAAATGAAGATTCGTCGTTATCAGAATTTTATCAAATAACAATTCGTGTAAATAAAAATTTGTACAAACGAATATTCAGTAAATTGAACATTCTGACATTTAAAAATTAAAATCACTAAAAATTCAGTTGAATTAGAATTATGCTAAATTAAAAAATTGGTCAAGTGTGAGTTACACTCGCTTACCTAGGGTTCCGTTCACGATTATTTAAATGTTTATATTATATTTAAAAAAATAATTTTCCTCCTATAATTTTCTTTCAATTTGCCAGTAAATATATACATATATATGTACAAAGTTTGAGATGGTTGGCTAAAAAATTGTTAAAGTTAAGATAAAAAGGAATTTTGAGCTTTCTTCAGGAAATTTGAGTTTTTCTGGCGAAGCAATGTTTAAGTTAATTTCAAAAGGGTTTGCTATATTTTTCGTGAAATCTACACATGAAATTAAATATGTGTACCAAGTTTCAGTTTTTTAGCTCCAAAACTGTAAAAGTTAAGACGGGGGACACACGCTTCTTTCGGAAATTTCGAGTTTTTGAAATATAACTATATTAAATTCAATTCCAATCGGGTTCGCTATAATTTTCCTTTAATTTACTCGCAAAAATACGTATGTATACCAAATTTTAGAGGGGGGAGATGATTTTGTGGACGGATATGAGTGAAACCATAAGGGTTCCATTTCGGTTCACTGTGTGAACGGAACCCTAAAAATTCGCTACCTAAAAATTCTATTAAATGATAATTCGAAAAATAATTATAACTCATTTTCATTATAGGAGCCCTTTATTTATAATGCATAAAAATCGACGACTATTTCGAATTAATGTGTTAGAAGATAGAAATCTCAATAAAAATTCACTTGAACGAAAATTACATGAAATGTTTGTTTAATCTCATAAATTATCACCTCTTCTCAAATAATTGAGATATCGTTTTTTCTTGTAGAATTCGCATATGTTGTGTTAACGTAAAAAATTTCAAAATTTATGTTTAAAAAAATGTGTTTCAATGTGATTTAAAATTTTTTACCAAATGTAACAATTATACGTAAAAATTTCCAATTTAAAATTTTTTAATTTACACATTCAATTGAAAATATTTCTTGAAAACTTTTAAATACAATCATTGAAAATTTCAAAGTACATGTCATTGCAAAAGGCTTAGGGCAATGATCCAATTCCAAACTTTAAATTCTATTTTAGAAAAGCGGAACACATTCTATTTTTAGTTTAAAATTATCAATGTCATTTCGGAAGGTTGGAACTTTTTATCTTTATGAAATAATCGGAACAATAAAGTTTAAGATATAACAATGTTTACTACCGGCATTATATTGTTTCAAGGTATTTGGAAGTCAAGATCAAAAAATTAATCCTTACAATTGTAATTTTTCAAAAGCACTATCTTATAGCAAACAAGAATGTTCAACTTTTTTTTTTATAAAAGCAAAAAAGTGCAAAAAAATAAAATAAAAAAATTTAACGTAAAATTATTATATTAATATTTTTTTGTAAAACTGTATTTCTTTAATAATCAGTCCTATTTAAATGTCATTCAATTTTTATTAAATATATTTACACAAATGAATATTAAGTATGTAATATATTTAGGTACTTAACATTATTTCTTTATGATTATTTATGATTATTATTATTATTTCTTTATGTATTTATTAATACAACTACACTTTATTTAACAGAAAATATTAATAATTATTGAATTTATTGTAAAATATGTGAATGTGACGATTCGGTGATTCTCTATGTAAAATTGGCGCTTTAAAGGTGTAAAAACAAAAAAATCAATTATGAAATTAGTTTCTGACGTAATGAATCTACTTGGGAGAGTGAATTATTACTTCTGCTAAGAATAACTAAGTTTTGTTTTAATTTTTCTAAAATAATTCAGTTGAAGTATGAACTTTTTGTATTCATGAAATGAACACTTTGCTTTCTCATGGATATTTTTTGTGATCAGTTTATGGTAACTTATTTAGTATATTATAATAATTTTAAAGGTGTTAAGTTGTATTTTTTGGGAGTTTGCAGAAATAGATTTTTCAATAATAACATCAATAATTTCGTAACATTTTACAATAGAAGGTTCAATAATAGGTCAATTGATTCATTTTTAAATATTCTCCAAGTTGTTCATAATACTTTTAAAGTTATATAAAGATTTTTTAATGAATAATAAAAAAAATTGCAGGATTTTAAAAAATTTTCAATTTCAAAATGTTAATAACTCTGAATAAAATAACAGTAAGATATTCGCTGATAGGTCAAAAGATGCGTCTTGAAAAACTTTACAAAACTAGAGATAAATATCTATTGGTGTCAATACATTTTTTTAAGTTATGGGCAAAAAACGTTTTTCAAAAATTTTTAAATGCAAAAAAGGAATAGTTAATCTTTATTAATATAATTCAAAGTACTCTCATTATTTGACCGCAAGTGAGACCTATTATTAAAAAAATATTATCCCTTTAGTTCTTATAGTATTCGAGATATTTATGAAAACGCAGTGTACACACACAAAATCTGAACTAGTGAAAAGTGAGAAACTAATTTAAATTAGTAAGAATTTTCACTAATTTTTAATCACTTTGTACTTAAACTTTAGTACAAAAATTTTTAATTTCTAAATCAAATAGTAATATTTTACTAAATATTAGTAAAAATTCTGACTAATGTGAATTAGAAGCTCATTTTTACTAATTTAAATTTAGAGAGCACACACACGGAATATTGTTTAAAAATGTGATTTTTGGATTCCTAAGATCGAAAAACATAAAGATACATCAAAAAATTTCCAGAAAATTAAAATGATCGGGACACATGAATATCACAGAAATTAAATTAATTATAGAATTTTCATTTTTAAGAATAGAACATTCTTTTAGCAAAATTTAAATTTTTACAAATATCATTTAAAAGAATTTCTCATTAAACAAAATTTGTAGGTAATTCTGTTAAATAATAATTCAATAACCCACAAAGTCCAAAAGAATGTTCTATCTAATAAAATTCTTTGAAATAAAAATTCTAACTAATTTGATTTATGAGATATTCATGCGCCTCAAATGATCCATTGTAAACAGTAATCTATTGTTACCTACTCTTTCCTATTCCTGGCTGATTCACAATTACAAGACACCCTGTATGTATGTATAGTTATACAGGGTGTATCAAAAGTCCCAGGACGGCTAGATATCTCGAGTTGCATGAAAATCGGTTTAATGGAAATTCTATCAATAAATAATTCGAAAAAATACAAATACTAACAAATAAAAATTCTGTTAAATGAATTTTTGATTTTAAAACAAATTCTGCAATATAGAAAATCGATTTAATGGAAAGTCTGTCAAAAAATAATTCAAAAAATAATTTGCAACAATTTGCGAAAATCTGATTTTTGGCACAATTTTTATATAAAGTTTTTTGTTGTCAGTTTGAGTTCGTTTTCTCAAACTTGGGTTTTTTGTTTGTAACCCAAAATGAAGGGGATTAAAAAGTCGAATGCACAGGTAAAGACAATACTGAACCAATAAAGTGCCAGGACAGAATTTTCATATCTATAAGGTGTTTTTTTTTATTTTTGTCTCTAATAAAAAATATTGGACCAACTTTTTATTAATTCGTAGCTTGATATTTATGGGAAGTATTTAAAAAAAAGAATAAGGCGGAAGGAGATTGCACATGTTTCACGATTCGACACAAACATTCATACGCCTTTCAATGGCAATTGTTAAACTTCCCTTAGAGCAAACGTGAACAACGAGGTCAATTGACGTTAAATAGAGTCACATTACTGCATTACGTAATTTAGGGTCATTTTGAAGGGTACACCTACGCGACTATATGACGGCCATGCAATCATTGCTACATAGAATAAACCAGAGTCCCAAAACCGGATCGGTTAGGATTTGTAGCGCGACGTAACGTCTCTACCGGATGTAGATAAAACGTCTAAATACTTTTGATTATTACGATTGTTGGAAAATTGTATACTTTATGTCAATGTCTTTTTTATTATACTTGTGATTTATTTTATCAAATGTATATTCTATGATCAAATTTAAGGCTCAATTAATTGCACGGAAGAAAAAGTTTGGTATTTATGTAGTTTCAAATAGATTACACTCTAAAAAGAAGGTATTAAAATAGAACCAAAAGGCAATTTAGTACCTAAAGTTGGTATTAAATTAATACCTCTCGTTTTACAGCGTATATTAGATATTTGTTGAACCAACTTAGCTGACTATATAATATTAGTTTCTTTTTATTAAAAATTAATATAAGGATTCAACACCAGTATATGAAAAATAAGTAAATAATATCTGTTTCAAGAATTTGTAAGTTTATTTTATAAACTCCTTTTTTCTTTCTCTTTAATTTTTCATAATCTAAAATTTCAAATTTCAGCAATCTTCTTTTGGTTAAATTTTTGTTAATATCTTTTTTATATTTATTTCAGATCTCATAAAACTGATTTCTAAAAGAAATTTTTTATAAAATATATAACAAAGTAAATAAATTATATATTTATTTTTACGTTTACTCGAACGGACAGTAAACGGAAACTTAGAATGCTCCGATACAGGTGGTATG